ATGGTATAGTTTAACCATTAATTTGTTAAATGAATACAATGGAAAGTTTATTGATAAACGAAGATTGTTTTAAAGATTATAATGCTTTGTACAAATAAAAAACATTCTTGTGTAAAGTGATGACATACTAGCTGACTTATGGTGTTATGCGCCTATAGTCTCAGCACTTGGGAAGCTGAAGTAGGAGAATCTCTTGAGTCCAGGAGTTCAAGACCCCATCTCAAAAAAAAAAAAATCATATATTTGAGGATGTGTGTTTCAAGAAGACCCACTAATCGTGCCCCATTTGGTATTTGAGGTGCGTACTGGGCCAGACTTTTTGTAAATGTGGAATCCTGCATTACCTTGCATGACCAGCAGATGCCGCTCCTTCTTAGGGAGGAGTGCTGCCTTTTGTAGCTGTGCTGGGCCCCTATACATAGATTCTCATCAGCTCCATTTATTGAGCCCATCCTGTGTCTGGCACTGTTCTAAATGCCCTCAAATATTAATCTTAAAACTCTGAAGCAGTCATTTTATCAACCACAACTCTATATAAAGTTTTACAAATCATAAATTTATAAATAATATTTTACAAAGGTAGAACCCCAGTGGTTACTTGGTCCAGTGGCTTTTCCTGCTCCACAGTAGAAACATCCTTTCTTAATTCCCATGAGCACCACTAGAGGTTAAGTCCTCAGGTCCCATCTGGATTCCTGTGGCTTCCTTTGAATTCAATTTCCTGCCTTATCTGCTTCCTCTGTGTTTTGCTTGCCAAGTGGATCTTTCTGGAACATGGCTGGATTACAGTCACTCCCCACTTCCTATTAAATTAAATTCAATCTGGGCACAGTGTCATTTATCTAATCCCAGGTGCTCAGGAGGCTAAGGTGAGAATTGCAAGTTCAAGGCCAGCCTGGGCAACTTAAGACCTTGACTCAAAAAAAGGGTTGGTAATATACCTCAGTAGTTGAGCACTTGCCTAGAAAGTATGAACTCTGGGTTCATAAGTCCATACTTACCCAGTTGTAAGGAGCTAACCCTATCATCTATTTTAATTTACAACACAAAACTCTTTATGCTCCAGTTAAAAATGAATCCTCAAAAGCTCCCCTATTTGGTGTTAGTTCATCCTGCCCCATTTTTCACCAAACTAACTTTCTAAGAGCAATGTCTCCTGAAAGAGGAGACTATGATTTAAAATTACAGAATTTAACTGGGAAGAATCTTTGAGGTAGTGGATCAGTTTGCCCTAGCCACACCTGTATCATTCCTGTAGTGGTATCTGGATTTTGAAGGTTTGTTACCAAACTAAGGTAAAGCTTCTCATCTTTCTTTAAGCACAACACTTTGTGCCCAGAGATTTTGATCTGGATCTGGGGAGTAGGAGATTGTCCTGACCCATTTAAAACTACTTTTGCAGCCTTACCCCTCTTTTTTACCAATGGCAAATTGAGCCTCCTTAGAAGTGACTTGTCTGGATCTTAGCACTAATTCATGAAAATAGATTGTGTCCCTGCCGTCTTTGATGATGCTTTTATTGTTTTAAATAAACTTTTTAGAGACATTTTAGAATTACAGAAAACTACAAAGGATGCTGAGTTCTGATAAACCCCTCACCCAGCTTCCCTTCACATTAACATCTTACATAACCATGGAACATTTGTCAAATGAAAGAAAAAAATTAACTAAAGGACAAACTGTCCTTGTATTTCACCGGTTTTTCTAATACTATCTTTTTTGTTACAGCTCCAATCCAGAATACCACATTGCCTTTAGTGAACTAGCTTTTTAAAAACTGAGATAAAATTCACAGAACACAAACCTTTTTATCTTTTATTTATTTCGCGCTGTGGATGAAATCTAATGGGGCTTTTTCACTAAGCTACATCCCCAGACCTTTTTAACTTTTTTTATTTTGAGACAGGTTCTTGCTAAACTGGAGCCACCTTAGTGAGACCCTCAGTAACTTAAGGAGACCCTGTCTCAAGATATAAAATAAAAAGGATTGGGGATATAGCTCAGTGGTAAGGCACCCCTGGGTTCAAGTACCAGTACCCCCAAAAAAATTGTGTGTGTGTGTAAAAACGTGGAAAACAGTCTGGGCTGAACTCAGAAACTTTAAATATACATATATGAAGGAATATACACACGAGCCCACACATTTTCAACGCCCTGTAATAAATAGTGGTTGTAATAAATGGTGGTTGCCTTACCTTGCAACCACCAATCTGCTCACTCCAGGCTCATTTCTGCCCATTCCTGTACCACAGTAGAAACAACATCCTTTCTTAATTCCCATGAGCACCACTAGAGGTTAAGTCCTCAGGTCCCATCTGGATTCCTGTGGCTTCCTTTGAATTCACCAGACCCCTCCTGCCCCTACAAGTCCTCTCCCACTCAACCAAACATAGACCTTTGCTCAGATCTTTTACTGTACCCATCCTAGTCAGGTGCGATGCCCCTGGGAGTTTTTTTCTAATGCCATGTCTTTTTACATCACATCTCTCAACCCATGGCACAGAGTAGACCCTGAGTAATCCCGCTGGAATAAATCTTCTCTAAAAACTTGGAAGACAGTCTGGTGCTGAACTCAACAACTTTAAATGCTCAATGTGCAAAGATTGATGAAACTATTGTGTTAGGCATTATTTGGTATCAACGTCCTTGACATCCAATTGTTCTTTCACCAAAAAATGAACCAGGGCCAAACCTGCGGGTGGCTGGGAAGAACTGTAAAGCAAACCTAGGGGGAACCCAGAGCTGTGCCAGCCTTCCAGACGCGGTCACTCCCAGAGGCCCCTCCCACGCGCCAGGGTGGGCTCCCCAGCTCATTCCTCCCGCCCTGTGGCGGGCAGGGACGGGCTGTCCAGTCCCTCGGCACACCTGATTGGCTAGGTCCTGAGTCCGATAAGCGTGGGCGGAGCCGCGGGAGGGCTGACCGGCGTGCCCGGAAGGTGGCCGCAGGGGCGTGGCCTCCATGCGGGGAGGGCGGGCCGCGGGGGGAGCTGCTTCCGGGTGAGCCGCCCCGCCCCCGCGTGGGCCGCGGGAGACCAGATCCCGCGCTGCAGTGGCTGGAGTAGCGGTTCGGAGCTTTCAAGGAGATAGGTGAGTGGGGCTGGACTCCGGGTGTTGGAGGGTTTGGAGGTCGGCCTCTGAGAGAGGCGGAGGCTGGTGCACTAAGTCCTGCGTCCGTAGCTTGTGTCGGGCGCCTGAACTCCCGTCCTGCAGCTGGGAACCGAGACCCCGTGGGCCCCTGCTTGGGTTCGATGGTCCTGCAACAGCCGGGGTTGGAAGCCGATTTCCCGCTCATGTTTCCTCCTTTGGATTCACCCCCGCCCCGGGCACCGCCGGCCTTCTGCATCATTGCGGAGCCGAGGTGCCTTGCAGGCTGGAGGAGAGGAGTGGAAAATATAAGAACCGCTTGTGCTAGGCGTTGCATGCTTGGCCAATCAGTCCTTACGACAACCCATTGAGGTCCGTTCAAGTCCCCACTTACCAGGTGAGGAAATTGAGGTCATACAGGTGAAAAGTGCCAGAACCAGGATTTATACTCACATAGGTCGACTCCACTGACCACAAATTTAACCACCCTGGATCGCAGCCGCCTGATAGATTAGGGCTCTACCCCTTCCCGCCCTCCACTCCCTTCGCCTGTGGCTCTTAATAAGTCCAACTGTGCCAAATAAAATGTGAAATCTGTCTCGGTACCAAAGGTCATAGTGGGTATTGAGGACTGGGCTGCTGGAGAACTGAATTTTAGCCCAGATCTGCAACTAACCAGCTGCAGGATCCAGGGTCAACGTTTTGCCCTTCTCTGAGCCCAGTTTTACCAGAGTTTCAGTGATGAAATCAGCAAGCTTCAAGAAACCTCATAGTAAGGATATTCTAGGAATCTGTGGAAATGGGAGCTTCTCTGGGTTTCAAATTGCTGAACCCAAAGATTAGGGCTTTCAAAGCCCCAGGAGCAGACTGGGTTCTCATTTTTCTCTTTAATCCCTGTATCTAGCACTACAGCAGGTACAGAGTAGAAAATTCAGGAAATGTGGGTTGATTGAACCAGCAGCCAGTAGGTTTCTCATCAGAAGTGCCTGACAGCTGCTGTCCTGGGCCTTTCTGGGGCTTTGGGTTTCTAAACCTGGCTCTTCTACCTAGCTGGCAATTCTGCCTAACCTCCTTCTGAGCCCGCAGCAGAGCCTGCCAGAACTGGCAGCAGTTGCCATCCCTCTGGGCCAAGAGCACAGCCTCTGGAATCAGTGGAGCACAACCTGTGGGACTGAAGCCCTGCAGCTCTGCTTGCCCCCTTGGTGGCAGCTCTCAGGGTCCAAGTTAGGTTAGACCCAGGTTGGGGTGGATCCAGCCAAGGAAGGCAAGACCTTCAGTGTTCTTTCATCCATGAAGCTGTTCTTGACTCCCAGACACAGGATCCTCCCACAGCACCCGGGCCACCCCACTATTCTGCATCTGTATGGGGTTGCTTTATTCCTTCTCTACCACATTAGGTGTTAGGAAGCAGGGACTTTGAAACATCTTGTGACCCTCCAGGCCTAAACAAATGTCCTCCCTCCGAGGTGTGGTGCAGAAGGCACAGGACTATACCAGGAGATTTTGTTCCAGATCAGTCCTGCCCCTATTAATGTTAAAATTAGGGATTGGGGATATGGCTCAAGCGGTAGCGTGCTCGCCTGGCATGCATGCGGCCCAGGTTCGATCCTCAGCACCACATACAAACAAAGATGTTGTGTCTGCTGAAAACTAAAAAAAAAATATTAAAAATCTCTCTCTCTCTCTCTCTCTCTCTCTCTCACTCACTCTCCTTTAAAAAAAAATAAAAGTCCTTTTTTTAAAAAAAAAAAATATTGTTTAGTTTTCGGCAGACACAACATCTTTGTATGTGGTGCTGAGGATCGAACCTGGACCGCACGCATGCCAGGCGAGCGCGCTACCGCTTGAGCCACATCCCCAGCCCCAAATAAAAGTCCTTTTAAAAAATAAAAAATAAATAAAATTAGCTTCTTGTTTACTGAATAGCTACTTGGTACCTCAGCACTACCTCTAATCTTCTCCACGGCCTCACAAGCTAGGTAATGTCAGCCCATTTCGTAGATAATGAAATGAAGGCTCTGAAAAGCTGCTGACCTCGGCCAACATTAGAGTAGAACACAGACCAGACCTGGAATAGCTTGATTCTGAAAGATGGTTCCTTCTGCACTGCCCTGTACTGTCTTCCATAAAACTAACCTGATCTATGTGAGCAAGCGAAGGTGTGGGGCCTCATTGTGTCTTGTTCCTATAAATGGGGTGACACAGTATTTAAGCTGAGGTTTGCAAGCTCCCTTAATTTAGGGGCCATGCCCTTCCCGTGTGCAAAAAACTCCCAAATTTTGAGGTACTTTTCACAATGCAAAACCCTGGCCTGATTTGACTCTGCAAAGCAGAGGAGTTATTTGGGGCATTTTCCCACTCTGCAGGTGTTTATCAAGTGCCTGCTGTAATAGACTGACTATGTGGTCCCAGCAGCCTCAGGCTCATTTCCTAGCTCTGTACCTCACTGGCTATGTCATTTCAAGCAAGTCCTGTGGCTTCTCTGCACCCAATTTTCCATATTATAATGTAAAAGATTAACTAGGATCAGTGATTTTCAACTTTTTTTAAAATATTTTTTACTTGTAGGTGGACACAATATCTTTATTTGTTTATATCTTTATGTGGTGCTGAGGATTGAACCCGGGGCTTCACACGTGCTAGGGAAACACTCTACCACTGAGCCACAAACCCAGCTCGATTTTCAACTTTTTAATTCTTCCAGCAGTAGCACCATTTTTCAAACTACTATCTGTCTGACCATTAAAAAAAAAAAAAAAAAAACAGACCAAAACGAAACTTCTCTAGCAAGGCCTCCCCCTCCAGTTGTACCCTCCCCACCTCTCCCAGGGTCCTCAGGATGAAATTTGGGCAGCACAGCTCCTAGGCAATCCTGCTTGAGGTTTCTCATAGGCAGAAGGAGGTTGCTCTGTGGGCCTTCTAAAGGAAATGGGGGTTGAGGCCAGTGGAATGCAGCTGTGAATTCCAGAAGTCCACAGCCAGCTACAAAAGATTGTTGCTCAGGGAAATGAATCAGAGACATGTGAACCTGGTTTCAAAATTTGACTTGACTCTCCAGAATGACACTGAGCAAGTCATGTAAACCCTCTTAGAGCCTTCATTTCCTTATTACTAAAAGACAGTTCTTACAATTGAGATAATATAAGCATAAAGTACCCAGCACCTAATTAATACATTCAATATATTTCTCTCTAGCACCCATTGCAGAGACGGTATGGGCAGAAAGACACCTACTCAATCAAACATTTACCAGTATTGTGGGTGATAGTACATAAAACCCTGCATTTGGACTTCAGAACAAATTTAGTTTCTGGATCAATCACTAAACTCTCTGTGTGGTCTTGGGCAAGTAACTTGACTACTCTGAGCTGAATTAATTCCTGGCAGACCAGGGAGCAAAATCTTGCACAAAATGGGCAGACAGGACCTCATATCTGCTGAATAATTGCTCATTTAGGGATTAAGACATCTTTGAGGAGCCCTGGCTTGCCCCTGTGTCAGGTGATGAGGCTGACCCACCCTGGGGTGTGGGGATAGGGTGGGTCCATGTGTGGCTCCTGATAACCCCAACCCCCGCCAAGGAGGAGGATGGGATAAAATGGGCCCCTGGGCTGGGAGGGAGCCAAAGAGATTGGGCAGAAAGCCCCGGCACACTGAAGGATCACCAGGGTTCTAGTTCTGCTGTTTTATCCTATAATGCACTGTGTGACCTTGGATAAGTCCCTACCCCCCTGGGCCTTGAGGTCCCGTTTGTCCAAGGAGCCGCTGGACTTGGACCTGCCACCCCCACTTTCTGTGGCTACCCCACACACACACCCCACCTGGCTACTAGCACCTCCAAAAAGAAATGTCTGAAATGAAGCCCTCTGTCTCCTCTGCAAGCCTGGTTTCCCGTCACCCTAATCCTGCCCTGTCCCTGTCCTCTGGCCTATGGGTCAGGCAGACAGCGCATCTGCCCTGAGAGACGGCCTCTTGGCTGCATCACCAAGGCCCTTCCTTCTCCACCCTCAGACCTCCCATAGCCCTCCCATAGCCCGTACTCTGCTTCCGGTCTATTCTGCTCAGTGGCAAGATTTATCTTCCTAAAGCCAGGTTTTGACCAGCTACTCCCCCACTTCCTGCTCAGAATCTTCCTTGACCTTCAGTCTGGCCCCCTCCCTTCCTCTCCTCTCTCCTCCTGCCACATGGGCTCCATCGCCTCTTGGGGTCCTCAGAACAGTCCACAGCTATCCTCCAACCCCAGCTTTGCCCTTTTTCCCTTCCCAAGGGAGAGCTGTACCTTTCCCTCCTAAGCTGAACCCACTTACCCTGCAAAACTGAGTTCAAGCCCTGGTCTTCCAGTAGCTTCTTCTGCTCTCTAACCCACATAGAAACCATGACTCCTTTGTGGCAGGGCTCCTCCTCTCTGAAGTGCACTCCATCAACCGTGCCTCCTGGACTGACATGCAAACTCAAGGAGAGGTCAACTATGGGAGAGTCCAGCGTGGCCTGGCACACAGTAAGTGCTCAAGAAACACGTGAATGCCCCGCTTCTTCCTGCCTCATATCATCTCTCTGGCATGGAGGGCATAATATCTTGTACGTAATGTAATTAAATACTTGCTCTGTGCCAGAGTCCACGGGTGGGCAGAGTGTAAGGGGGCAGGGGAAAATAAACTAACCCTGGACCCTGCCCCGCAGAAGTTATTGGTACAAGATGAGACAGATCAACAAAAAACTTACGTAAGAGAGGTTGCAAGAAGAAAGCTTCTTCGGGATAGGGGAGGAGAGGCCTGTGGATGTGGGCGTGGCGGGGCCCTGGAGATTGCACAAGCCTTCTCAGAGGGACAAGGTGCCACCACAAAGCAGGAAAGTGCCGGAGTCTCCTTGGCTGGAAGACAGCCTTAATGGTCACCCCGTTGGGGGAGGGTGTAGGAGCACATGTGTCCTGCATAACTGGAAGTCCCCATAGCAAGGTATTACCTGCGCTTCACTTGAGGTGGAATTATAGGGAATTCTTCTCTTTTGGCTTACCTGTACTCTTCTAAAATTTCTACTGTGAGCATGGGCATTGTGCAGGGAAATGTTGTCTGGATCAGTGCTTCTCCAAGTATGCCTAGGGAGGGATTAGTTCTGTTTGTCTTTCTTTTTTTAATTTCCAGCCCATTGGTTGTTTGATAAAATCTGGTAAAAATTAATAACCAGAAATTTATTTTTTTTAAATAGCAGTCACATACACAACAAACTCAAAAGTTTCTTCATTGGATTCAAATTGCTATGAAGTTTCTAAAGACTTATGTTCATTTTTTGTCTTTACCGTGAGCCCAGCAGGGATTGGTGTACCCCACTAGGCTAGAGAGAGGGGCGGCAGGAAGCTGGAAGAGCTGCTTTTTAGATGTGACTGTCTCTCAGGGTCGGAGATCATATTTCATGTGCCTCCCGTTACCCCTTTCAGAGCTCAGCACGCAGCAGACACCCCAAGAACTACCTGGCTGGCCTCTGGCCCCCACCATGCAGCCCCAGTCTGTTCTGCACAGTGGCTACTTCCACCCCCTGCTTCGGACCTGGCAGACAGCCGCCACCACCCTCAGTGCTTCCAACTTCATTTACCCCATCTTTGTCACGTGAGTCCCCAGGATTGGGCCAAGCCTTTGATCTGTCCATGATGGGGGCAGGTGTGTGACTGGTCCAGGCATCAGTATTACTGGTGGGGGGAGGTGTAAATTGGGCCATCACAGCCAGGCATGGTGACACATGCCTGTAATCCCAGTTACTGAGGAAGCTGAGGCAAGAGGATCACAAGTTCCAGGCCAACCTGGGCAATTTAACAAGACCCTGACTCAAAATAAAAAATAAAAAGGGCTGTGGGTGTAGCTCAGCGGTAGATTGCTTGCCTAGCATAAGCAAGGCCCTGGATTCAGTCCCCAATACCATAGGGGGGTGGGAAATGGGCTGTCAGCTGGAAACTCAGGGTATTAGAAGTGGCCAACTGGGATAAGGACAGAGGTCTTAAGAATGGCACAAACCTTGAAAAGACCTCAGTTCTCCCATTTGTAAAATAAGAATAACTACTCTTGCCTGCCATCCTGAATCTTTGGAATACAATAGAAACGTGGAAGGTTCTGTCAGCTGTAAAGTGCTGTATCCTCATAAGAGGGGCTTATGAATAATAATCATGCAATCATGATTATTAATAAAGCAACAGCAGACCTACTGTGTACAAGGTACTATGCGAGCAACCTACATACATGATCTGTTCAGTCCTGACAGCATTTGTGTAAAGAAGGAATAGACATTTTCTCCAACAGGGTCAATTCCATGAGGACAGGGATTTTTGCTTGTTCACTGTTGTATTACCAGCACCTAGACTAGTACCAGGCACATAATAAGTGCTCAGTTGGGGCTGGGGTTGTGGCTCAGCAGTAGAGCACTCGCCTAGTACATGCGAGGCCCTGGGTTCGATCCTCCGGACCACATGAAAATAAATAAATAAAGATATTGTGTCCAACTAAAAAAATAAATAAGTATTTTTTAAAAAATAAGTGCTCAGTAAATTTTTATTGAATGAAGGAATTGATCCCATCCAGGCTCTGGATGAAGGGCTTGAGGCTCAAAGAAATGATGTAACTTGGCCAAGATCACCCAGTCAGAAAATGGCTAGAAGAGGAAGTAAGGACTTCTGATGTCAAAGTCCACATTCTTAACCACTTGATTCCTTCCTGTTGACGCATTACTGTTCTTCTAGTACACTTGCTTTTATTGTCACTGTTATTCTTGTTCCTATTATTATTTCAGGCCAGGGGAGCCAGACACTGGACCCCATCCCCCTCCCTCCATCTCCATTCCCACATTCCTTCCCAGCTTCCCAACCATCCCTCCCAGTCACCCCGCCACCACCTGCCCTTCCCACAGCCACCAATCCATAGCCCACCCCCTGCTCTTACAGGGATGTTCCTGATGACGTACAGCCTATTGCCAGCCTGCCAGGAGTGGCCAGGTAGGAGGCATGCTGGAGAGGGCAAGGGGATGATCGAGGGAGAAATTTTGCAGGGGGAGGTCCCCGGAGGCAGAAGTAGACCCCGGAGGTAGAAGATCCAGAGACACAAACTGCAGCTCAGTGGAGAGAAGGGCTTCCCTGGGGCCACAGCTGTGCACAGTTAAGGGGCAGCCTCGTGAAGCGACAAGCTTCACCAGGAGCCCTCGGCGAGGTTGTTGCATGTGGAGCTGAACTTGAGAAAGGAGTTCAGTTAGACCACCTCGGAGGAGCTGCCGCAGCTGATTCCACAGCTCTGATATTTGGGGTTTGATTTCCCCACCTGTTTGGTGGATGAATTCCTTCCCAGCCCTGTCCTAGGGGCTGGCACCCTCCTGGTGCCACCAGGACTGGCCCCCCTCAGTCCCTCCCATCCCCTCCCAGGTATGGTGTGAACCGGCTGGAAGAGATGCTGAAGCCCCTGGTGGAAGAGGGCCTGCGCTGCATCCTCATCTTTGGTGTCCCCAGCAGAGTCCCCAAGGTGAAAATTGGAGGAAGAGTTAAGAAAAGAGGTGGGGACAGGAGTGAATGGCCATCGTCCCAGCCCTTAAGATAGTACTCCTAAGGGTCAGGAAGCTAAGTACCTGGTACCCTGACAGGGTAAGTCAGGTCCCTCTCTAGGCCCCTGTTTCCTCTGCAGTGGGCACAGTCCTCAGTGCTTCCCTATCTAGGGGCTCTTGACCGTGACAGAAAGTGAGGGCCGGGGCTGCGCTCTGCAATGGCTGGCCGCCCTGTCCCCCCAAGGGCTTCATGTGACAGACACATCGCTTTGTTCTTCCCCTGCCCCTAGGATGAGAGGGGCTCTGCAGCCGACTCTGAGGAGTCCCCAACTATCGAGGCAGTCCGTCTGTTGAGAAAGACCTTCCCCAGCCTCTTGGTGGCCTGTGACGTCTGCCTGTGCCCCTACACCTCCCACGGTCACTGTGGTGAGCTTCCTCCCTCCCACCAACCCTGCTGCCACCCACACCCACTGCCCAGTTCTCCCCAGGGTGGACACAGGCCAAGAGCCAAGGCACTCCCCAACTCCGCCATCTTGTCCTGCAGGGCTCCTGAGTGAGAATGGAGCATTCAAGGCCGAGGAAAGCCGCCAGCGACTGGCAGAGGTGGCACTGGCCTATGCCAAGGCAGGTGAGTGAGTCCCCAGCAGGGGTGGACACCTGTGGGTCGGGGAGCTGGCAGAGTGGATAGAGGGTCCCAGAGTTCTGAAGACCTCCCTCTGCCCCTCAGGATGTCAGGTAGTAGCGCCGTCGGACATGATGGACGGACGAGTGGAAGCCATCAAGGACGCCCTGATGGCACATGGACTTGGCAACAGGGTATGTGCTGGGAGTGCAGGGGGAGGGCAGCAGGGTGGAGAGAGCCTGGACAGCCCTGCGTCCATGAGCCTAGAATCACAGAGCAGAGGACAACACTGGGTTAGGCCTTTGGGGTCCATCTCAGCCTCTGCACCTCGGATGGGGAGATCAAGACCCAGTGTTCCAATGGGATTAGAACTCAGGCACGCCTCTTCTTAGCCTCGGGCCTTCCACTCTGTCACTTCACCCCAGAGCACCTGGAAAGGGCTGCCTGGGCCTCACTGCATTGTCTCCATAGGTATCAGTGATGAGCTACAGTGCCAAATTTGCCTCCTGTTTCTATGGGCCTTTCCGGTGAGTGGGGTGGGCAGGCTTCTGCTGTTAACCCCTGACCCGTAGCCCACAGCTGGAGCTCACAGGGTGACTGTGCTCTGCAGGGACGCTGCTCAGTCAAGCCCAGCTTTTGGAGACCGCCGCTGCTACCAGCTGCCCCCTGGAGCCCGGGGCCTGGCCCTCCGAGCAGTGGTAAGTGACCAGGCTTAGGCTTGAGACACACACACACACACATACACACACACACACACACACACCCTTCCTGCCTGTCCTTTTCCAAGACACTTTACCCTCTTCCCTTAGGACCGGGACGTACGGGAAGGAGCCGACATGCTCATGGTGAAGCCGGGGATGCCCTACCTGGACATCGTGCGGGAGGTGAAGGACAAGGTGAGCACAGAGCAGACCTGAGGACTCAGAGATTGGGAGAGTCCCCAGAAGCTGGGACCTTCGATTGAAGGACTCTGGCATCTCAGAGCTAGAAGCAGTCTGCACCTGAGCCGGAGGCCTCTCTTCCCATTCCTGCCCAGAACCAGCACGGCCTCTGTGCCGGGGTTCACAGGAGCCTTTGAACGGCTCTGGAAGGACAGCTCTAGATCAGACTGGGCTGCCAGGAGCACAGACTCAGAATAGAGCTCAAGGTGGTCACAGACTGGGCAGTAAGGGAGGGACACTCCAGAGCACAGCTGTCCTCCACCTCAACCCCATTCCCATGGCTGCTTCTCCACAGCACCCCCAGCTCCCCCTCGCTGTGTACCACGTGTCTGGGGAGTTCGCCATGCTGTGGCACGGAGCCCGGGCTGGGGCATTTGATCTCAAGGCTGCCGTGTTAGAAGCCATGACCGCCTTCCGCAGAGCAGGTAAGCGCAGAACAGAGCAGGTGGGGGTTGTGACCTGTGCCCCAGAGACTGACCGGCGCTTTGTCCAGATAGGGAAACGATGTCACGAGACAGCCTGGACTCTTATGCTTGTAAACACAGGTATCTAAAGAGACAAAGTCCAGGCGTGGTGGCACACGCTTGTAATCCCAGCTACTTGGTAGGCTGAGGGAGGAGGATTGCAAGTTCAAGGCTGGCCTCAGCAATTTAGCAAGACCTGTCTCAAAATAAAAAGGACTAGGAATGTAGTTCAGTAGTAAAGAGCCCCTGGGCACCACTATCCTCTTCCCCACCCCACCCCCCAAAAAAAGACAGACTGAGGAAAGGGGGTGGAAGGACAGAACAGAACATGGGACAGTGAAGAAAACAGAGCCCTCTATTGCTTTCTGATGATGAAAACTTGGACAAGACGCTCTCTCAATCCTAAGGTCCTTATCTGTAAGCTAGGGATAAGATAGCTGGCGCCTGGTTGTCCTGAGGATGAAATGAGATAATATGTTCAATTAGCATACGCCTGTTACTCCATAATGGGAACGGGTTTTGTTAGTATAGCACACTATCCTGGTCATTAGAATGGGCTCCAGCTATGGGCCAATGGGCCCGGGGTTTAACAGCAGAACCCTGCCCACCCCACTCACCAGAAAGGTCTGGTGAAACAGGAAGCAGATTTGGCACTCTAGCTCATCACTAGGACCTGTGGGAGAGAATGGGGTAGAGGCTCAGTCAGCCCCTTCCAGGTGCTCAGGGTGATGTGGCAGGGAGTGAAAGGTCACTGGCTAGGAAGCAGAGTGCTTGTGTTCCGGCCCATTGGAGCGCTAGCCTTCCCAGCCCGGGAAGGGGGCTTGCAGTTACCTGCTTCCCCAGCTGTGCATTTCACAGGAGGCACAGAAAGAGAAAATGACTCACCCAGGATCTGGAGCTGACTGAAGTGGGCCCAGTCCTGTGCCGTGACCCACAGGCTATGCTGATGCCATGCCCTGCCCCTTTCCCGCCTCTCCCTGACACAGGTGCTGACATCATCATCACCTACTACACACCTCAGCTCCTGCAGTGGCTGAAGGAGTGAGTAACCAGTGTGCAGGACCCAAGATCTAGAACTTGAGAAGACTCCCAGGGCCTTGGAGAAGTGAAAACCAAAGTAAAGGCTGCTTTTAGAACTGTGCCCTGTGCCCGCTTCCTGCTTACATGCCTGCAGGGGCCCAGCGCCCTGGCTGGCTTTTGCCAACTCGCTGAATCTTACCAATCCTGGTCACAGCCTCATGGGCTCTCCGAGCTTCCTGCCCCTGCCCAAGCTCAGCCTGAGGCTCATGTTTTCCACCCCCAGCTCTCTCCTCAGGTGTGGCTTCAGCTTGACAGCAACCAAGAGTTCCCCAGGGCAGGCGTGGTGGGGCCTGGGAGAGGGGCTTGGAGCACGAGGAGAGCAGTTGGACTTTGGATCCCAAGAAGCTCAGGAAAGCCTGGGCCTCCAGCAGTGGAGCTGAGTGCTGGGCCCGAGGTCCAGCGTGACAACCCTGGGGGTGGAGCTGAGCCGGGCTTTGGTTCCACACAAGCCAGTGGTCACCAGGCTGCCTGGGAGCCCCTGTTCTCTTCAGCCTAGACCTGAGGAAGAATGACCGGTGAATGAGAACCAAACTCCAGAAGCAAAGGGAGCGTTCCTGACTGCTGGAGCGCCACCACCACAGGCTTTTCAGGCACAGGATAGTTCTTGAGAACCTCTGCTCCATGACCAGGCACTGGGTGCCAGGGAGACAGTAGGACAGGCCACAGCCTGGCTCCTTCTGGAAATTGTGCAGAGAGTAGGGAAGACAGTTAAGAAGAAAAGGGACAAAGTGGTTACAAACTGTGATAAGTGCTTTGAAAGAAGGAAAGGGTCTCAGAGAGTAAGGGGTAGGACCCTCTTCAGAGCATGGTCTGGAGACCCTCTCTGAGGCTAAGACTGAGAGGGAAGCTGGGCGTGGTGGTGCATGCCTGTAATTCCAGCCACTCAGGAAGCTGAGATAGGAGGATCACAAGTTCAAAGCCAGCCTCGGCAACTTAGGGAGGCACTAGCAACTCAGTAAGAACCTGTCTCTAAATAAAATATAAAAAAAGGGCTGGGGATGTGGCTTTGTGGTACAGCACCCCTGAGTTCAATTCCCAGTACAAAAAAAAAAGCCCGAGAGGGACAAGAAAAGACCCTTACAAAGATGCAGGTCACAAGAACAAAGAAGAGAAGATGGTATGTACCATGACCCTGTGGTGGGAGGAGCTCAACAGGGCTTTGGAGCAGGTGAGGAAGAGGCATGTGGGTAGAAAGGCCAAATCCCACATCTGGTAATGAGCTTAGATTTTATTTTGTATTTAATGTGCAGCCCACTGAAAGATGTTCTCCTCCTACCCCACCCCATGCTGGGGGTTAAGCCAGGATCTCATGCATGCTAGCCAAGAACCTCTGCCATTGAATTCCACCACTTAGCAAATTTTGCCAATGCTTTAAATCACTGTGGAGAAGGAAACAAGGATGCCTTCATGGGTTTCTGGTTCTAACAAATTCACAAGTGCTTGTAGTTATTTTAAGACTGACAATGAGTCTCCTCCCAATGAAAGTTAAGGCCCAGTTAAGGAGAATCCAGTTTGCAAGTCTACTTACCCATCTGCAAAGGGACAGGGAATCCCCATCTAGGGCCAAAACAAGGTCAATTCAGACCCCAAAACAGTACAGTCCTTCTCCGCCCCTGTATTGGGGATTGAGCCCACAGGCACTTTACCACTAATCTGTAACCCCAGCCCTTCTTAAGTTTTTTTATTTTGAGACAAGGTCTCACTAAGTTGCTGAGACTGTCCTCCAATTGGGATCCTCCTGCCTCAGCCTCCTCATTTGTTATTACAGCCATACACCACCAACCTGGCAGTACAACCCATTTTTAATATAGAATAAATTCATTCATTTAGAATTATAAACTCGTGGCAGCTTCTACAGACAATCCAGTCCCTTCCACCTCTTGGTGACCTTCATCAGAGCTGTGGTTGGCTCACCTTATTAAGGCCTCATCTCACCTTGTTCTTACCTTCTGAAAGGTGGCCAGCCAAGATCAGAGCTTGAAGACTCCCAAAGCTTCTTCCAGGAGCCTGAGCCCACACCTGTACCTACGACATAGGACCTACATCACCAACTGGGAGACTAGTCATTGCTGGGCCAGAGACAGACCAGACCAGAACCTCTAGGTGTCTTAGCTACTGGGCCTCCTGCCTCCTGGCCCCGGAGCTCATTTCTGGTTAAATGATTGATGTGGAAGTGAAAGTTTGTCGAGCCGTCTCAGACTCATTACTGCTAAGAAAGTATAGAGCCTGGCTTGGTTCTAGGCACAGAGAGATGGGAGACAGATGGTGCCCTTTAGGTATAAATAGTTCAAAGTAGGCAGACAAATGTGTGGCAGACCACTTGGGGAGCACATGATGTAAACTGCGCCAAATGAGGATGAATATCCCTGAGAACCAGGAAGCAGAAGTACAGTGACTTGATAGGTGATGCGAAAGAGGTCACAGGACCTGACCTGCTTTGGAGGATCAGAAAATGTTTCATTGAAAGACTGACATTTGGATGAGTGACCAAGCTATGCTTGGACAACAGCATTTCAGGCAAAAAGAATGGTGGTGCAAAGGCCCTGGGGCTAGAAGGAACTGGAGGAACATAGGGCTGGTGTGGCTAGAGCACCAGGAAGTACAGAAGAATGACCTGCCCTTGCTAGAAGTAATTTTATCTCTGGACAGAGGACTCAGTTTTCATAGCCTGGCGTGACACATGATCTGACCTCTAGGTATCACCATTGAGTTGATGACTGCTAAGGGCCTTTCTTAGTGAGACTTGATTTTCTTGTTTCCCTGTCCTATGTACCAGCTTAGACTGTGGCTTGTCCCTTCAACAGGCTTTTTAATCAGCCAATTCACTACCTAAAAGCAGAGATCACCAACTGTCCACATAGGGAATGGGGAATCCTAACTGCTCCCTGCTCTGAGCCCCAATTCCAAACATCAGAGCCTATGATTTGCAGCAGACCAAGCCCTGGATTGTCCCAGGAGCTCTTGATTGCAAGTGACCAAAACCCAGTTCAGGAATGAAAAAAAAAAAAAAAAATGAGCCAGCTGATTTACACAACAGGGCCATGAGAAGTTCAAATGTGGGTGGATCCTGAGTCAAAGACTTTGATCCCCACTAACTCTAGGTTTAAGTGGTCGTTAAGATTTATAATCCCAGGACTGGGGTTGTGGCTCAGCGGTAGAGCACTCACCTGGCACATGTAAGGCCCTGGGTTCCATCCTCAGCACCATATAAAAATAAATAAAATAAAGGTATTGTGTCCAACTGCAATTAGAAAATAAATATTAAAAAAAGATTTATAATCCCAGAGAAAGATCCTTTCTGTCTCTCAGTTACATAGCAAATCAATATCTGAAAATACCTGATTGGTCCTGCTTGGGTCACAAGAACCACCTCATGGCTCAGTTGCTAAAACTGAGCACCACCTTGGCCAGGTCTGCCTCAGGTCACAGAGGCTGGCCAGGACACAGAGCTTTTGTACAGATGGTTCCTTTGCCTGGAACATTCCGCCCACAATCTGCATGGCTGTCTCCTTTTATGTTGTTAAGATCTCAGTTCCTTAAAGAAATCTGACCCCGTCATTCTCTGCATTTCAGGATTCAGGATCAGTGGGTATGAAAAAAGCCAAACTAACAATGGCTTAAGATAGAAGTTTACATCTCTCTAAGTGTGTCAGCTGCAAGGTGTAGGAGTGGTGGGGTGTCTCGGCTTCTACCTCTTTCATCCTCAACACATCCTGGTTTCCATCTTGTGATCAAAGTGGCAACCCCAGTTTCCTACCGTCAGGTCCTCTTAGCCAACAGGAAGAGAGGGCAGGAGTAGATCATGACCCTTCTTTGTACAGGCAGGATCCAGAAGTTACATCATTTCTGTCCACACACCATTGTTGGGGGGAGGAGGCATATGCTCAGCTAAAACTCAGGGTTCCAGAGGAAGGAAGATAGAAAGAATGGATCCTGGAGACAGTGGCCATCTCTACCACATGAAGTTTCTTGGAATCACAGAAGCTTGAGAATATCAGGCCCTTGGGGATCACTTAGTTTAACACTTATAGATGGGGAGACAGACCCAAAGAGACTTGTCCAAAAATCACACAGAAACATGCACAAGGCCCTGGGTTCACTTCCCAGCACCACAAACACACACACACACACACACACCAAGACAATAGCAGATCAAGCCTCCTAACTCCAAGCCCAGAGTTCAAAACTGGGGAAGGACTTGTGGAGAGACGGGGTGAGAATTTGGTTTTAGAGGGACTTTATACATATGAGTTCTGTAATCAAGGATACATTCGTGTATAGTTGTGCAAATAAGAATAAATAAAAACTTGGCTAATAGATATATGAAAAGGTATTAACTTCATTAATTGGTGGAGGAATTCAAGTGAAATCCTTGAGATACCACCATACCTATTAAAAAGATTGTGCCAATTATTGAGAATGTGGAAGTACTAGAACTCTCAGATATTACTGTCACAATCACTTCAGAAAACTGGCCCTCTCTTCTGAAGCTGAACATATGCATACCTTATACACTAGTGGATCCACATTGGGTACTTACCCATCAGAAATATATAACTGGGCTGTGGATGTAGCTAGGTGGAAAAATACTTGCCTAGTATGTACCCAGCCCTGGGTTCAGGCCTCGGCACTGCAAAACAAAACAACATATACTTACGTTCACCAAGAGACATGTTCATAGCAACATTTTGTAATATGTGTAATAAATAAAACCTGGAGATAACCCAAATGTTCATCAACCATGAGATGGAATAGGACAGGAATGAGAATGAACTACAGCTTTACATGACAACGTGGTTGAATCTACTGTTACTCAGTTGTGACAAAATATTTGAGATGATCAACTTAAAAGAGAAAAGGTTTATTTTGGCTCACAGTTTCAGAGGTTTCAGTCCATGGTCATTTGACTCAGTTGCTTTTGGAGCTTTGGTGAGGCCGTACATCATGGCAGAAGTGCATGGCAACCAGAGGAAGGAGTGGGGATCCCAATATCCAGTCCACAGACATGTCTCCACTAGGCCCCACCTCCTAGAGTTTCTGCCACCTCCTGACGGCACCACAGGCTGCTGACCAGTCCTTTAACACATGAACCTTTGGGGGACATTCTGGATCCCAACTGTAATACCAACAAAATTTTGAGTGAAAGGAACAAGATGCAAAAGAATACATGCTGTGCCGTTCCCTTGTGTAAGATTCAAAAACAGTTAAACCATGCAATTAGAAGTCAGAATCATGATCTTCTGTGGGGGTAAGTGACTGCAAGCAGATGGGCTCTAGAGTTCTAGAAATATTCTTTTGCTTGCACCACGTGGTGGTTGCACCAGTGAGCTCACTTTGTGAAAATTCAAAGACATGCACACTTCTTTGCCTTTTTTCTCTGTTTGCAGCATTGGGGATTGAACTCAGGGGTACTCGACCACATCTCCAGCTACATCTTCAGATCTTTTATTTTTTTAGACTGTTGGTCTAAGTTGACCTCAAACTTATGATCCTGCAGCCTCAGCCTCCCAAGTAGCTGGGATTACAGGCATGCACCATTACACCAGCTCTCTCTGGGTATCTTAATTAAAAAATTAAATAATAGGGTTGGGGTTGTGGCTTAGTGGTAGAGCGCTTGCCTAGCATGTTCGAGGCCCTGGGTTTTGATCCTCAGCACCACATGAAAATAAATAAATAAATAAAGGTATTGTGTCCAACTACAACTAAAAAAATAAATACTTTTTAAAAAATTAAATAATAAATAAATGAGGGCTGAGGGTGTAATTTAATCGCAGAGTGCTTTTCCTGTATGCACAAAGCCCTGACTTCTATCCCTAGCATTGAAAAAAAAAAAAAAAGAAAAGTAAGTGAAAAATTAAAAGTAAAGAATGACATGTACCTAGTTGGCCCAACCTGGATTTATATAGTGCTTTCAATAGGAGAATGTCAAGGAAAAAGCTCTCACAAAAACAAAACAACAACAACAAAAACCCCTTGGCTTTCCAAAGAGAATAAACTGGCATCCAGTATATAGTATAACATGCCAGGTGTCCCCAGAAGCAGTCACCAGACCAAAAATAAGGTCACTGGATGAAATCATCAGAGGATTCCTGTGATCTAACTGATGCAGGAAAATATCGATTAAATATACCCAGTTTTAAACGTGCAAATCAAAACAAAGCTTGTTCCAGTGTATGAGGGACCTGTCGCTGGCTTTCCCCTGATGTAAGATTCCTCGCTCTCCACTGATGAAGTTACCCAGAGCAAAGGTAAAGCAGATCCCAGAGGACTAACAGTTAAGTCGGGGCCATGACTGCAGGGGGCATATTCACAATGAAATGGAAATGCCGTTTTCTGGAGGTGTGCAATGAGTGGCCCTGGGTTACAATGGTATGTGGGGCTCTCAACTTACTCATCTGAAAAAAATCATCTTTTACTTCTCAAAGAACTTTTCCAGGTGATCTCATTCAACTCTGCTGTAGACATTACTATGCCCTGTTTACATATGGAGAAACTGAGGTTCCATGGGCAAAGTTAATGATCTTACAAATCAACTTCAAAGATAGTCTGGACATTAATTGGAAGTTATTTTGTCCAACCCCTCCCCCCCCCATTTTGCATATTGGGAGACCGAGGCCCAGAGAGGAAAAGAATTGAGCAGAGGGCTCACAGAGCGCAGATAGCAGAGTTGGAACCTGAACTTCAGGGTCTGCTTAGGTTTTAGGTGACCTTGAACAGTGGGTGACCTCAGGCATTCCTTGATTCTGTGAAACAAAGGTATACCTCTGACTTCCTTATCACCCTTCCCAACCCCACACCTGGGAATCATATTTGTGACACAAAACCTGTTTTGCAGGTAAGTCCCTGGAATCCCAGGCCCCAGCTCTGACGCTACACTTGGCTTCCTCCTAGGCCCTCAACCTAGCGTGAGGGTGAGTTGGTTCTGAACAAGCAAACAAATCAGCCTTGAGATACCGAAAGTTTCTTTAAAGAGGAGTGGAGGGGAGGAAAGAAGAATGAGGTGTGGAGTGGGGGAGCCCTTCTTTCCTCCCCACCCCTCTCACCCCTGAGCCTCCACCGCACTACTCTCTCAACACGTCTTGTTTGTTTACTTGATTTTTGCCTGTCCCTCCCATGATCCCGGCAGGCAGGAAGCCTCTTGTTTGCCGATGCATCCTCAGTGAGGACCTGCGCAGGCACAGAGCAGGCACATGTTTACTAAGCAGCTGGTGAATGAATGTCAAGTTTTTTGAAATGACAACGCACTACTTTTGCAAAATCAAGTCTTTTCTTTCTTTCTTTCTTTTTCTCGAAAGAATTTTTTAAAGCTTCTAGGTTACTGTATGTAGAGGACTCTACCCACCCTCAGGGTGACAGCGCAGAGATAACGAAAGGGTACACGGTGACGGTGAGACGCGGGCTGGAGGCGGAAGAGCGCGGGATAGGGAGCCAAGGAGGTGCTGGGAGGGGACGAAGGGGCGAGGAGGGTGCAAAGTGACTAAAGTGGGGGTGGAGGGGCGCAGCAAGAATAGGTGACTCGCGGAGCGCCGCCAGGGTTGACGAGAGGAGGGCGGGACGAAGAGGCGGGGCGAGAGAAGGAGGGCGGGGCGAGAGGAGGAGGGCGGGGCGAGAGGAGGAGGGCGGGGCGAGGGGCGGGGCGGGAGCTTGGAGTCTGCGAAGCGGCTGCGAGCTGTAAGCATAGCCGAGCCCGGAGGATCTGCAGCGGCCCTCTGGCCACCTTCTCTGCGAGCCAGGTAGGTGCTGGGCCCCGGGATAGGCGCCGAGCCAAGGGAGCGCACTGGAACCGGGGAGGGGACCCAGGCCTAGTCGCGGACCCTGGGACTCTCGCGCTCCGGGTCACGCGGCACACGCACTGCAGCCGGGTAGATTTTGCTTGAACTCCCGGCACCTGGACGTTGCTCCACCGAGCCCCGGAGGAAGGGAGGGAGGGTGAACCATTCCGCCTGTAGCCCAGAGCCCCCAGCCCCAGATTCCAAAAATGGAAAACTCTGTATATCGTTCTGGTTCCAGTCTTAGCTGAGCTAATGGCGCCCTGTGCTATTCGGGACAAGTTCCCGCCCCTCACTGGGCCTCCATCTGCCCACCTGCAAAATGAGAGGCTCTTTGAGTGGGTCTCTCCAAGCTCCTGGCAGACAAATCCACTTCCTTGTCTCACTTTCTTGAAGACTGATCCACAGATTCACCAGTGTGCCCCTCCTTCAGCGACAGCTTGATTGCTCTGTGAACTCTGACCCCTTGGATTCAACTGAATAGCATATCTGGAATCAGCTCCGTTTAGGAAAGAAGCTGCTTGCAGCCTCTGTTCACCAGCCTGACAAATGCATTTCCTATGCTTTGAGTCAGTAATTTTTTCATGGCTGAGCCTAGGCAGGATGAAGGAAGGATGCAGAAACCAGGCTCGGGAAGGGTAAAGGATAGAAGCAGCCTGCTCTGTCCTGGTGTCCTGTGATATACAACTTCACCAGAATGAAGTGCTTTTTAAGATCCAAATGTGTCCAAGCATCCTGCAGAGGAAGGAAGCACTCACCAGAGGTCCTAGAAGTTTGGGTTCTAGTCCTGACAGAACTATTGGTAGTAACATTAATAAAGATCATAATTGTTTCCTTACTTTGATCTGTAAGACCTTGCCTTAGGTGGACAATCTTTGTAAGTACCAGACTCTTTTATTGCACTTGTCATTTCTACTGCCAGGAACACTTAACCACCTCCACTTCCTGCACATTTGCTCTTCAGATCTTCACCAAAATATCACTTGCTTAGGATGCTCCCTACTTCAAAGACTAGGAGTTTTCTTTCCCTATGTGAACTGCGCCCCTCCCACCGCAGCCTCCAAACCTGTTCTGGTGATACAGCAATGAGGGCTGGGCTTTTAACTTTGCCACATTGACCAGCTCTAGGTCTCTGAGCTCACACATTATACCTGTATTCCTTTTCTACCATGAGTCCCCCTTACCTCCATCCATATTCCCTGAGGGCCCAACTAACATCAGTTTGGGTCTCTGAATTTATGTCCCCATGGTACATACTGACTTCATTATGCTTCATTAAGTGCTTGTGTACTTCTTTGTCTAATATCTGAGTCCCCTATTCTTTTTTTCCCCCCAGTACTGGGAATGGAACCTAGGTCCTTGCATGGCTAGGTAGCAAGCACTCTACTACTGAGGCATATGCCCAGGCCTTTTTTTTTTTGAGACAAAGTCCCACTAAGAACCTCAAACTTGTAATCCTCCTGCCTCAGTCTCCCAAGTAGCTGGTATTACAAGCATGCACCACTGCAGCTGCCCTGTATCCCCTATTCTTTAGTGCCTATAAATGCCACAAAGGCAGGAAACCTGTCCTATTGCCCAGCATCTAGCTCAAAGATGTACTTGAAAGTTTGTTTTGGAATGAATGTGATATACACTCTCATTTAGCCCAAGATCTTGTAAGGTTAATGTCATTGTGTTCCTCTTACACATGAGACAGGGATTCAGAGTGACTTTCCTAGGGTCACACATTGGCAGCACTGATGTGAAACCAGTGTCTCTAACAGCAGGGCCTTGACTTCAACCTCACCTGCTATTTCTCATTCTAGGATCTTGTGCTGTCAAGACGTTTCCAAAGTGCCTTAGGTCAAGCAGAAAATCCGACCCACAGGCCGGGAAAGAAAAGACTGTTAGGTTGTGGAGGGGTAGTCTTGTCCAGCTCCTATTCTTCCTGACTGTGGGGCCCAAGGTGGACTTGTCCTTCTCCATGGCACACCGGCTGCAGCTACGTCTCCTGACATGGGATGTGAAGGACACACTGCTCAGGCTTCGGTGTCCTATAGGGGAGGAGTATGCCACCAAGGCCCGGGCCCATGGGCTGGAGGTGGAGGCCACAACACTGGGACAAGCCTTCAGCCAAGTGTTCAAGGCTCAGAACCACAGCTTCCCTAACTACGGCCTGAGCCATGGCCTCACCTCCCGTCAGTGGTGGCTGGATGTGACCCTGCAGACCTTCCACCTGGCAGGTGTCCGGGATGCCCAAGCCATGGCCCCCATCGCTGATGAGCTATATGAAGACTTCAGACACCCCTACAAATGGCAGGTATTGGATGGGGCTGAGAATACCCTGAGAGGGTGCCGCAAGCGGGGTCTGAAGCTGGCAGCAATCTCCAACTTTGACCACCGGTTACAGGATATCCTGGTGGGTCTTGGCCTGCGGGAACACTTTGACTTTGTGTTGACTTCTGAAGCTGCTGGCTGGCCCAAGCCAGACCCCCGCATTTTCCATGAGGCCTTGCGGCTTGCTCACATGCAACCAGCAGTAGCAGCCCATATTGGGGACAGTTACCTCTGTGATTACCAGGGGGCTCGAGCTATAGGCATGCACAGCTTTCTGGTGGTTGGCCCAGAGCCTCTGGATCCTGCCATCAGGGCTTCTGTACCTGAAGAACATATTCTTCCATCACTGTCCCATGTCCTGCCTGCCCTTGACCGCCTGGAGGGATCAACCCCTGGGTTGTGAGTCTGGTGAGGAAGTGTCTGGGCCAAAATAAACATTGGAGACTAGGAGCCCTTTCTTTCTTCCCAGATATGGACTGTGCTCTTCCCCTGCAGCCTCCAAACCTGTTCTGATGATAACAGTAACAAGGGCTGGGCTTTTAGCCTTGCCTCACTAACCAGCTCCAGGTCACAGCTCACTCATTCACACCTGTGTTTCTTTTCTCCCATGAGTCCCCCTCACCTCCATCTGGATTCTTTGAGGGCCCAAATAGTTTCAAAATCAAGCACTTTCTAGGACTGGGAGTGTGGCTCAGTGGTAAAGTGCTTGCCTAGCATATATGAGCCCTGGATTCTATCCCCAGCACCACCACCAAAAAAAAAAAAAAAACAGGCACTTAAAAACTTTTAGTAGCAAGGTCCTTTTGTCATTGGAGACCTAAAACCCTATTATGAAATAATAATAATTTGAAGCAGAATTCTTATTCTTATTATTCAATCTTTGAGACCCACCTCCTCACCAAGCCTGAGTTTAGAACTTAATTTGCTGTAGGACACTGAATAGTCTAAACAGGAAATTTGACATAAGAAACAACCATGATTAGTCACAGAGTTAGACTGATGGCTATGCCTGCCCTGTGTTAGGTACTCTGCTAAGTTCTCAATGTGACCCTTGAAGCTCCCAAGTGGGCATAACTATCCCACCCACCCACACACCCCTCCCCCCTTTTTTTTCAAATGAAGAAATGGAGAGTTAGGTGACATGGTAATGCAGCTGCAGTCAGCACGCGCAGGAACCAGGGTTCCAATTTAAACCCATCCAATTCCAAAGCCCATTGACTTGGACCACTAGGTTTCAAGTGGACAGGGAGCCTTGTCACATAAAACAGTGCAATAGAGATCCTGGGAGAAGAGGAACGTCATCATGAGCCATGTCATTCCTAAAGGGCACCCTAGTCACAGGGGCCAGCATGGGGGTAGGAGATCAAGGGAACAAGGACGAGCTCAGGACGTGGGGAAAGCAACTGGAGGCTGAAAGAGTAGGTTGGATTTTAAAACTCCATGTCTCTTCCTGCCTTACCAATGCACTTGTTTTCCAGATCTCTCTGCCTTGCCCAGTGCCAGGCACAGGTTTTAACCATAGACTTAAAAACACAGGCAGGCACAAATGTGTGGGTTCCGGTGCCAGTGGACAAGGAGGGCTCTGGACAGAATCTTAAGCTGGAGGTGAGGTTGGGCAGAGGTTTGAGGGGACATTCCTGCAGTGTGCCCATGACCTGTGAGGGCTCTGTGGGAGGTGGAGGGAGCATGGTATGGGGGCCATCCAGTGCCAAAGAGGAGAGGGTGGTTTTGACCCAGATTTCTGGGCAGGGGCTGTGCCCAGGAAAAGGTGGGAAAGACCCCTTCAAGCTTGATCAAACCATTTGTGTCTATCTTCCTTGGGCCTGGCAACAAGACCCGGTGACTCAACAGTAATGCCCAAGTGTCCCAGCAATGAAGACACAGGTCATGAACTTTAGTCTCAGAGCTGCAAGGGACTTGGAGATCATCTCCACCTAGAGTTGCCAACCAGAGGCCTGTGGGTTTAATCAGCCCAGCTTAAGTAAACTGTTAAGCAATCTAATGAGATTTTCAAAAAAAAAAAAGGGCAGGGATGTGACTGAGTGGTAAAGCGCTTGCCTAACATGCATGAGGCCACAAGTTCTATTCTGGCACTGGAATAAAAAAAAAATCTTTTTTTTCCACCTCAAGATGGGGATTTTTTCAGCTTTTCTCTGAAGACCTCTGCCCCCATCCATTCTGGGGCCACATATACTGCATGGCCAGAAATGGCTGAGGCAGAGGAATGGTTGTCTTTGAATCTTAGACTATTTTATTTCATTGTCCACTGACCCCAGCGACCTTATTTTGTGACCTCCCCTGATTAAGCAGTGATTTTCAAGTGGGGAGGACTCTGGTTCACATCCTCTTTGAACCCAGAGCCCTACGTTGCAGGTAGTATTTTGTTTTTGCAATGCTAGGGATAGAACCCAAATGGGCCTCTCACATACTAGGCAAGAGCTCTACCACTGAACTCCTGCACCAGCCCTGATAAAGCTTTTTTTGGTACTGGGTATTGAACGGGGGTGCTTTACTACTGCACTACATCCCCAGCCCTTTTTATTTTTCATTTTGAGGCAGAGTCTCCCTAAGTTACTGAGGTTGGCCTCGAACTTGCAATTGAATGTGCCTCTGGAGTTGATGCTGAGATTACAGGAGCACATCACCATGCCCAGAGTAAGGCTGCTTTTTAAGAGTGTTCCTGAATAAAAGTTTGAAGAACACTATTCTTGGGTCAGCTCATGAAGGAGAACACTAAGGACTTTGCCCTTGATCCCAGTAAATGTCTGCAGAGTCTTTCTGCTAGGCCTCGCTGTGTGTGAGGGTTAAGACTGAGCCAGCACAATCTGTAGCCAATTACTAACAAAGAACATACAAGAAGTCTTCAAGTCTTTTAAGACCTTTAATCATGTCCATGTTCCCTAAGGTCAGTCCTCAGTTCTTATTTGAAGCTCTTTTAGACCTGAAACTCTTACCCTAGGTCTTTAAGTCAGAGGGGCACTCACCAGTAAATGTTTCCCTTGAAACATTTACTTATTCCACCCATTATCATAGGTGGGCACAAGCTGGCGCTTAGCCTCTGGGTCTGGGGCAAATGCCCATGGCTGTGCTGCCGTTAGGTTTCCTGGAGGTAGGATCCCTCAGTCTTCTGAGTGCCAAGGCAGGACCTGGGCATTCCCAAGCCAGACTATTCTGCCCAAGAGCAGCCTCACAGAAGTTCTAAATCTCTTCCAGGTGGTCCTTGTGTACTAAAAAAATATTTTCTCATTGTGCCATGTCCTGAAAAAGATGGAGAAGTACTGAACTAAGAGGACAGTCTTCAGCCATAGGCTTCTCTGCAGATAATCCCTTCCATATGTGAGAAGCTGGGGGGAGGGGGCTGAAGTGCTTCTTCAGAAACTACATCTGCCCAGTCACCTGTCCATCTGTCCATCCATCTACTCACTCACCATATAATTACTGCTCCCTCATTATGCACCAGATACCATGCTGGTTGCCAGAGATAGAGTAGTGAAGGAGACACCTTACAGGGGTAGATGCATGGTAGACTGGGAGTAAAGTCCCAGGAGCCACAGATGGCCAGGATTTAAAGGATGTGTCCAGGTCTGAAACAATATCTACTGCTCCTAAGCTGCCCATTGGGCATGGACCCTGCTTCCCTTAGAAACCCCACACCATTTGGGGACAGGACATCCAGTAGACATGTGGCCTGGCCTGAGAAGGTGATGGGAGGTAGAGCTGGCCTCCCTGTGGCCCAAGGTCAGTGGATGATGGAAATGGTCTGGTGGGCCACAGCGAAGACTGGGCGGAGGGGCCGAGGGAAGGCTGTGCGGTAAGAGTAGAGCACAGTGCCGGACGCCGGCTCGAAGAAGAGCAGCTCTTGTGCCTGCAGGTCCAGCAGCACGCCCAGCTGCGCGGGGCACTGCAGCAGCCCCAGGGGCTCGTGCCGCCCATTGTGCGAGAAACAGAACTCCTGATCATAGCGGGAGAAGACCCAGGAGTAGGCATTGTGGCCCAGGCGGCAGTCACTACCAGAACCCTTGCGGGGCAGCTGGCTTGAGGCCACGCCCACTTTATAAGCACAACTGTTTTGGACATTCACCATCCAGGCATGGAGCCCCTCCTGGAAGGAGGTGGCAGCCAGAGCATTGGGCCAGTGGTCGAAGCGCTCTGGGCCATCTGCACAAGCCTTGGACTTCTTGGCACTGAAGGTCACGGTCCTTCGATCATCTGACAATTGCAGAGAGGGGCTGATAGTCTTCTCATCAATGCGGATGTCCTCCATGCCTGCCAGAAAGAATTCTGAGTCATCCAGGCCCCTCCCAGAAAGCCCCAAGCTGATCCCATAAGGTAGCAAAGAGATTTCTCATCACTCACTGGCATTCAGACTCAGACAAGCCATTTACTCTCTCTGAGCCTCAGTTTCCTTGTCTGTAAAACAGCTATCAAATAGAATATCACAGGGTGGTCATAAACATTAAATAAAATTTTAAAAAATACATGTGAAGGGCCTAACATGTAAGTGCTCAATAAACTGTACCCATGGTAACAGCAGTTATTACTAGCTGAAAATTTCGATTGTAAACTTTGACAGAAGTAAGGCAGAAAGAGCAGTGAGTTGCTCAGGGTTCCATGCTGAGTGGGAGGCAGGGTCAAATGAAGACTCAGCATTTTGTTGGTGCATCTAGCACAGGTCATACTGATTGCTAGCTGGTCATATCTGTGTCCTCCAGATATGACTTACCCTGGAGACAGAGCTCCTGAAGCTAGGAAGCATGAGACATGCAGTTTCTAAAAGTTAATAGGCTGCTGAAAACTCAGGTGCTATCTGACACTAGAACCTAGTATAGATAAGCTATATCTTAGGTCAAAAATTTAAGGATAATATGCAGGGGGAGGGTTAAAATAGAAAAAAGAGTCAGTCTACTAACCTAACCTTCCCATGAAGTGTGCAAAGACTACCACTGGAGTACAGAAGCTTCTATCCAGCCTTGAAGAAGCCTGCTTTGAGACCCCCATGCTAAGTGGGAATCCCTGGAGGTAGAAGACGGTGTCACGTTAACCTGTGTGGCCCTAGGATGCAGCACAGAGCCAGGCCCACGGTCAGTCTGAGTCTCTGTAAAGCGCACGGATGAGACAAAGCCAGGCAGTGTCCTCCCTGGTCCATCTGCCCTCCAGCTGGCCATCGGTTATATTTTCTTAAAGAGAAAACTGAGGTTTCTAAGAAATCATAATGAGCTGCCCTAGAAGGGCAGAAAGTAGGAGGATGTGCTTTATAGGAAGAAAATTAATCCTAGATCCAACCACAGGGCAGACTGGTCTAGCAATGAGAGGGACCTGGCCCAGCTGCTCAGCCCTGTCCACAGCCACAGCCCCCTGAGCAGCCAACTTCAGGCACCACAGGTTGCCTGAGCTACTGTTCCAGAAGCAAACCGCAGGCAGGCAGACAGACAGACAGACAGACAGACAGAAGCCCAGTTGCTTCTGAAGGTGTCAGGCTTTTGCAGCTCCTAACCTGAGAGAGACCCAAGAACCGCCGTTGCCCAGAGCTGGGTCAGTAGTGGACTCCAAGTGCACTTCTCATTAAAGTTTAATTTTTCTGATTCCTGGGGATCCAAAATGCCCTCTGCTTCCTCGGTCCTTATGCAGGGGGAAAAAAAAAAGAGATTCAAGAAGCTTCTGGAAATACACCTGGATCATTACGGGGTGAGTGGAGAGGAGAGAAGTAAAATTCTCCTACTAACACAGTGACATCAAGACTGGCAGCCAGCCAGGTATAGTGGCACACGCCTGTAGTCCCAGCTACTCAGAACTTGGGAGGCTGAGGCTGGAGGATCACAGTTTCAAAGCCAGTCTCAGCAACTTAGTGAGGCTGTAAGCAACCTCATTTAGACCCTGTCTCTGAAAAAAGAAATTAAAAAGGGCTGGGGATGTGGTTCAGTGGTTAAGTGCCCCTGGGTTCAATCCTTGGTATCAGAAAGAAAAAAGATTTAGCAACCAATTCCACCCAGAAGCCACTAAAGGGGATCAAACCAGGGGCTTGGTACATGTGAGGCAAGCACTCTACCAACTAAGCTATATCCCCAGCCCCTCTAAATACATTTAAAAAAAAAAAGGGCTGAGGATGTGGCTTAGTTTTCAAGTGTCCCTGGGTTCAACACCCAATACAAAAAAAAAAAAAAAAAACAGAAAGAAAGCTCATGGTGGTCTGAGGGTGAGGCACAGCACTTGCCTAGCATGGAAGAGCTGCTGGGTTCAATGCCAGAACTGCAACAAAAAAAAAAGTTTTTAAAAGCCCATGGCGAGGGCCTGGGGCTGCAGCTCGGTGATTGAGCACTTTCCTAGCATATGGGCCCCAGTTCAATCCTCTCCTGCAAAAACACCAAACTAAAGCAATCAAAAAGAGTCCATGGCAAGGCTCTGGTTAATAAGTATATGTTCAGTGCTCCTCCATGTGGGTCTAAAGCAACTGTCTAGACCAGGGGCAGGAAGACCCTGACCATCAAGCCATCCAGGGATGTCACTCAGTCACATGCCTGACACTTTCTCCAAAGAGCAGAGACTGGGGAGAGGCCTAGGGTCTGTGACTACCTAAGCAAACCTCAGGACCATACTCACCTCTCAAAAATCTCCTGCTCCTTTTGCTGCAAAGAAAGAAAACAATGTCAGACTTGGCCAGATACCCAGGAGGCAGCCAAACTTGACTGCCTTGTAGAGAGGGTTCCATGTAGACACAGACTCTAGGACCAAAGCTCCTACTCCTTCCCCTAAAGCCAAAATCAAGTTGTATGGGTTGCTTTTCTCCCACTCACCCCCGTGACACATGCACAGGATGAATCGCTCTACTGCTCCTACCACGGGGTATCCTGGGTTTCCCTCAACTCCACTTCAAGACCGTCGTCCATTTGCCAATATCCCCCATGAAGACTGTCAGCTCCTGGACAGCTGAGACTCTCTGGATCCTCTATTGTGACTGTCCCAGTGTCTAGGACAGAATGTGCTCTGTGCAGGGAAGCTGGGAGACTTGTGAAAACACAATGCAGGGCAGTCATGGAAACTGCCCTACTGAAAATGCAGTGGGAGGGCCCAGTTGTTCCACATTCTCCTTCCTCTGCTTGGCCTTTACCTCTGATGTCACACTGTCCCTTCAAAACTAAAGGTATCTGTATATCTACACAATATTCTGAAAGATTATAAGCCAAATGTTAATCATGGTAATTTCTGGCAGGATTGGAGATGAGCTGTGTTTCATTGGAGCCCTCGTCAGCTCCCTCAAGTGCAGCGTGCCCTCGGCACACTCCTGAACTCTCTCCACCTTGCCACTTCCTTTCCCATGCGACTCATTACTTCTACATCACTTCATCCAGCAAGCCTTCCCTGACCCTTTCCTTCCCCCAGCCCAGATTGTGGGGTCCCTAGCTCTGAGTGATTACATATCCTTTAACATCCCAGTTCTCAATTTACATATTCATCTTCTTCATAAGGCTGGGAGCAGCTGGCAGCTGTATTCTGAAACTCTGCCCCATAGGGGCATGCCTAGCATGAAACAGTAAACATTTGTGTACTACTGAAAGAATATCACTACCAGCTGCCCCAAACCCTCTTATAATTTGATTTTCTGGCCTCATGTTAAAGAAGAAAATATTCAGTGGTACTTATTAAAGCACAGTAGGGAAGACTTATTCAGGAACATGGAGATAGGTACAGGAACCATTGCAACCAGGAAGAGATTGGGCTCAACTCTGAATTCAACATGGGCAGGTGGGAATTCACAGCCCAAGAACATCTTGGAAGTCAGTGAATGAAAAATTACCAAGAGGAAATATAAGGATAAGGGGAATTTTGGCTAAATCAACTTATTAGGACTCTTGCTGAAGACAAGCCGGGATGATCAGACATCATCTGAAGATGATGGAGGATGAGAAGCCCAATTAGGTATTGAGAAAAATCAGAAATCAAGAATGGGGCTCAGTGGTAGAGCACTTGCCTAGCATGCATGAGGCACTAAGTTCGATCCGTGGCACCCCATAAAAATAAACAAATAAAATAAAGTTATTTAAAAAAAATAAAAAGAATGAAGGGGTTCTGGCTAAACTGACTTAGTGGGATTCTTTTGCTAAAAGTAGATTTTACAAAGAAGTACACAGATGGGCCTAGGAGAACATTCAGAAGCCAGACTAAAATTTAGCCAAGCAAGTAATCTTTGTCACTCAGCCCTGCTTCAAATCCTCTTTGCCACGCACCGCACCTCCTACCAATAAACATTTCCAGTGTTTTCAAACTCTGGGGCGTCTGGACTTCACCCTTGCCTGACTTACAATCAGCTGGAAGTCATCCAGATGGGTGAGCATGTCCACTAGGCTGGTGCGGATGGTGTCGAGCTTCTGCAGAGCCTCAGCCCAGTGTACCCGCTGGGTCAGGATGCTCTGGTGGGCCCGCTCCTCTTCGCCATGCACCTGTTCCAGTAATCGCTGCTCCTCACTCTCGCACAGACTCCTCACCAGGCTCAACCGCTGGATAACCAGCTCCCGTGCTGAACTGGCCATGCTCTGTCAGGGAGTAAAATGAAGAGCAAGGTCCTGGCAACGTCTCAGTCTGGATTAGAGCGTTTGGGCTCAGAAGGAGGGAGTGTGAGATGGACTAGCAATGTCCACAATGGACATGCCAAGGGGAATGACAATGTTGAAGCGATTTACTTCACATCCCAGCCTTAGACTTCCAAAATATGGTTTAGGGGGAAAAAATTAAGATCCAGATGACAGGCTGTACCTCATGAGGCCATGATCACAGGATGAAGGAACTGGGCAGGATGTGGAAATCAACTGGAACCACCTGCTTATTGTCACAGTTGGGAATAGCAAGGCCAAGGGATCAAAGTCAGAGAATTATAGAAACTGCAGGGCAGAAGAGCCTATAAAGTCCTCCCTATTTCACTATGTAGAAGGACAAAAAGCATTACTTCCTAAGACTGTTCCAACTAATTCCTAATAGTTTTTATCTGCCACAGAAGAGACCTGAAAGAAATTCCCAGCCAAAGAAATTACTGAGTGTCTTCTAACTCCTGGCACAGTGTCTGACATACAGTAGGTACCCAAATATTCACTGGATGACTGAGTGGGACATTTTTCCTGACAATCACGAATCTTCTTGGAAGCATGCACATGACAAATGGGTGGCAGAGCAGGGACCAGGACCCAATTCTCTTGATTCTCGGGCCAACTCTATTCTCCAACACCAAATGCCATCGGATAACCAATCCTCCCCAAAGGCATCAGTTGCAAAAGCACCTGCACTTGTACTCTTGCCAGAAAACAGAGCAGAACTGCTTTCGTGTCAGAGAGCCAGGGACACCCAGCCACTTTCCTGTGTCCTGTCCCTGAAGGCCTGTTTTGTACAGTGCAGGAAATAGTCATGCCTGTTTGACAGAAGCTCCTCAATTTTGGGGAGAAAAGAGCAGCCTAGTGAATCTGCGTGGGTATGAATCACTCTCTTCCACCTGGGCTATTATAACTGTTTCCTAATTGGTGTCCCTGCCTTTACTTTTGCTGTCCATAGTCACGGCTCAATATAGCGGCCAAAATGTTTTTCTTTAATCTTAAATTATAGCATTTACTCTGCTCAAAAATTTCCTATGGTTTCCTATTGTACCCACAATGAAAGGCAAAGTCCCTGCATGGCCAATGAGGATACAATCCCACTCTCCTCTCCCGCTGCCCTTGGGATCTCATTTCCTCCTGCCTGCCCCCTGTTTACTCTGTATCAGCCTCCCAGGCCTCTAGGCTGCTCCTCCAACAAGGGCTTCTGAACTTGCCCTCTTTCTTGAGCACTCTTCCTCAAATGTGTGGTCTGTTCCCCCACCTCCTAGGTGTTAGTGCAAATATCAGCCTCCTTAATGAGGTCACTTACGATCACAGCACATGTGACTGCAACCCCTATCCTCCGAACATCCTATCCCCTTCCTATTTTACATTTCCCCTTATCAGGTATCCCTTCTGATGCAATATGTTTTTATTTGTTATTGTCCCTTTCTCACAATAAGAATGTAGGCTTCATGAAAACAGGAACTTTTATATGGTTTGTTCACCGTGGAATGCCTAGCACATCGGATAACAGTGTCTAGCACATGGTTAGTACTCAAAAAGAATTTGTTAAATAAATGAATGCTAAAATGTTGGAAGGTTCCCCCTTAAAGTTAGGATCTGCTATAGTAGCTTTCAATCACCATTGTACTAAGATCATAACCAGTGCAATAAGACAAGAAAATAAAAAGGATGAGCAGGCGGGCAGGCAGGTTGAGGGGATTAAGACATGGAGATCACCATGCAAACTAAAACAAAGATGAATAGGGTAGCTGCCTGGACTCCTAGCAGCTTTTTGGTTCCTGATACTAGTTCCGTTTAAGCTTCAAGGATCCATATACCCTGCCAGGAAATTCCGTTTTATTTATGCTAATTCGACTGGGTTCTGTTTCATGAAATTAAAAGAACCTTGATTAGGTCAGTGACAAGTCTGCTCCAGGTATTATGGCGGAAGGAGGGAGGGTATGTGCAGAAACAAAAGCATAGCCCCTTCCCTGAAGGGCATATTGAGAGTGAAGACATAGCAGTGGCAATAAGTCCACCAAGGAAAGTATTGACAGTGGATGTAGGAAAAGAGGCACTGTTCTGGGCCTCTGAAGGTCCAGGTCATAGAACTGACTCTCTCAGGAGGCAGTGTGGCCTTGGGCAAATCAATTAACCTCCATGGAACCCAATTCCCCATGTATAAATAGGGATGTTACTGTCACCCGCTGCATACGATTATCATATGGAATACTCAGTGTCAAAGTCCCTAAATAATTTATAAGTCTGGGACTGAGTATGAAATAATCATATTTTACAGAATAATTAGAATGCTACTCTTGCCAGGCAAAGTGGCACATACCTGGAATCCCAGCTACTTATGAGGCTGAGACAGTAGAATCACAAGTTCAAAGCCAGGCTTGACAACTTAGCAAGACCTTATCACAGAATAAAAAATAAACAGGGCTGGGAATGTAATTAAGTAATAGAGTACTGCTTGATTAAAAAAAAAATGCTACCCTTCTCTCTACGCTAAGACACCCAAGAAAGTAATTTTCTAGCAGTCTTTGTATGCAATGTGGTACTAGAGACAAGCTTACTCTGTCCAGATGGCAAAATCATGTCTCAGAGAAATGGGAAACCATTCTTCCTGGACATCTGGCTTTGTTAGTACCACAATGAGTTTGTGAGGTTGGGAAGGGATCCTAGACTTGTCTAAGTTCCTGGGGTTAGGGTCTTATCCTGGGGAGGGGGCACAGAGAGAAAGGAAGAATTACCACTGCTCTCTGGTTCTTCCCTGACAGGACCTCGGCCATGTACTTGGAGATGCCAGCACTCTGTAACTGCAGCCTCTCACACTGGTCCACGATCTTGTTCTGCAACACAAACAACCCTCATAGTGTCTTTGGCCATGCATATGAGCCATTCACTCATTCCAATGATTTTCCCCTTTCCCCCTACCTCAGCCACCCACTCCCATGGTCATGTCTACAACCGCATCATTATAAAAAATGATATTGTCTCCAAATCTTCATGTGAAGGATGCCACATCCTGCCCGCCACATCCTATTCTCCTAGCTCACTAACTCTAGAGTGCAAGCTCAGTTGGGGTCACCAATACACTAGTCTTACCAAGTTTTGCTACCCATCATCCCTTTTGTAGCTTTCACCTCCTTTTTTAAAAATATATTTATTTTTTAGCTTTAGGTGGACACAATACCTTTATTTTATTTTTTTCATGTGGTGCTGAGGCTCGAACCCAGTGCCTCACGCATGCTAGGCGAGTGCGCTACTTGAGCCATATCCCCAGCCCTCACCTCCTTCTTTATCCCCACATCCCATGACCTATTATTATAATCACTTCCTCCCATATACTCTCAATCTTCCTTCATACCCAGCTGACTCTCCACACCTGCTCCTGAGCAGAACATGGCTTCTCAAACCACTCTCCCCAAAGTTTTCTCCATTCATGAACAGCACCACTTTATCAAACTGTGACCCAGACCTTAAAAACCCTGAAGTTTCTCTCCAACCCCATGTCTAAATCATCAGTGAGTCTAATCAGCCCTCTCTCCAAAACCTGTGTCTTCTGACTACTTGGGATCACCTCCACTCCTGTTATTCTACCCAGATGACCATCATCTCTCACAGGAACCCTGTTAGGCCTGCAAGCAGGATTCCACTCTCAACCTCTACCCTCCTCATTGGCTGCCTTTTGTAAGGACGTCAGATAAAGCCATATCCTACTCAAAACCCTCCAATGGCTTTCCTGAGTATTCCTGGTGAGCCCAATCTTTCTACCTTAGCCAACAAGGGCCTACCTGACATGATTCTGCCTATGTCTCCAATGTCACCTCCTACCACTCTCCACAATGGCCTTCTTTATGTTCCTTAAGAACACCAAACTTGTCCTGACCTCAGAGCCTTTGCACCTTCCTTCTTTCTTCTGCAGTAGTCTCCATGTGTGGCTTCTTCACTCCATCCAGATATCACTTCTTTGAGTGACTTTCCTGACATTCCCCCTCCCCTGATCTTTTCCTTGCTTTATTTTTCTCCCTTGAACTTGTAACTCTCTGATTATATGCTGTGTGTTTATTTTTACTGCTTATGTTCCCACCACTGGAATATAAGCACCATGACTTTGACCTGTTCTCTTCGTCCTACTCCCTAGAAATGAGTTCCTGCACAAAAGAGCCCTAAATAAATATTTGTGGAATGAATGAACACTCACTGCCTTGACTGCAAGAGGGCCAGCAATTCACAGCTCCCAAAGCTACCAGCATCAACTATGGGGACAGGGAAGAGTTTCAGAAATGAAGCAAATGAGGCCCACAGAGAAGTGTCCCACTCCAAGTGACATGGTAAGGCCCTTGCTTTACACTCCATCTTTCCAGATAACAGCTGGGGCACTCCCAAGCAGCAGTCCTTCCATGATTCCCCCTTAAGAGTTTTGCCTCATTCCATCTACTGAAAAGCAACTCAGTTATCTCTTCCAGGAAGCCCTCATAAATATTTCCTCCCACAAGTAGAAATTAGCCTGGCAATTCACAGGTGCAGATGCAAAGTCTTAGTACTGAACTGACTCAAGGAGGCTGTGATCAGTGTGCACCACAGAACTGGGAGAACTGAGACTAGCTTTTGAAAAGCAACTTGGCAGGAATCCAGAAGGTAAGAGAGCTGTTGAACTGGTGCCGTTTTGATCCAGTTCAGTAACAGTCTTGCCCTGATGTGAAATTTCTTTGCTGGAGAGATAGGGGATAGTGTGCTAAAGACATTTCTGCTCTAAACTGAAAGGGGCTGAGGGCAAAGCCCACCTCCCTTCAGGCAAAGGGGGTGAATAGGAGAGGTTGGGGGAGAAGGGTCAGGTAAGATGCCCTGAGGCAGAGTACATTCCAAAATAAGCACCAGGTCTGCCACCTTGCTCCAGCCTTCACCACTTTCACCATTCAGATATGCCCATGGCTACTTTTTAAGGTTTTCATGAAATTCTCCATCTCATTAGCATTACTTCCTCCCTCTAACCCCTGAAGCAAAGAGGTGGCTTTCTCTTGCCTAGTCAGTAAGTGCCCTGCCTCCAGCCGTTGACAATTGGAAACCTAGAAGGAGTTACTGCCCTGCTCTAGGCCTCAGTTTTCTCATCTATAAAATGCTGAGTGGCACTGCCACTTCCAAGACTTGGTCTGGATGGAATGAGAAGACAGATGTTTAAGTACTTTGGAATTTGAGAGGTTCCTATTCCTAATGCAAGTTGATTATATCATATCATCCAAGTTTATTTTCATCATCGCTATTGTTGACAGGTAAGACCAATCAAGATGTCACTAAATAACTGAACCCCTGCTGGCCCTAGCACCCCATAAGGTATGTGTATTACAGTCCACTCTAAGTAGATGAAGTCCCCAGTGAGAGCACTCAAGTGCACAGCAGGGCTGAACTCCAGGATGGGGTTGGGCGACTCCAATTGCAAGGAAATCCCCAGGGGCCACAGCTAAGATGGAAGGAGGGAGGAAGCACCAAAGTGACTGACTCTCCAATCTCAGCAGCTCAGAGGAGGGGTGGTGACAGGTGACCAGCCTGGAACCAAGCTGAAAGTGGAGGTGAGAAGAAACCTCAGGTGAAAGGGAACCTCCAGTTATCTTCCCCGCCCCCTCCCCATCCAGGTGAAACCAGAGTACAGTTGAGGCCAATCCTGGAAGGGAAAAAGAGCGCCTCACCAGGAAACCAGTAAAGAGGGGTGTGGGTCTGAATCCAGGGGTGAGGAGGGACCCACTTTTATCAAAGGTCAACTATAATAAACACATGCCACTATTATTATTATTGCCCCCAATTACAGATGAAGACACTGAGGCTCAGGGAGTTTTGTGACTCACAGGGAGCACGGAAGAGGGTGGGATTCGAACTCGGATCAACCCGATTCCAGAAGCCACACCTTCAACGGCCTCGCTCTACAGGCCAAACCACTGAGGAGCCCGACCCAGGCCGCCGGGTCCCTGCCTGTCCGGCCCTGCGCGCCACCGCCGCCCGGAGTCCCCCGCCTTCCGGGCCCACGCCCGCTCACCCGCAGCTCCTCGGCGCGCTGCTCCGCCCGGCGGATGCGGTGACCCTCGCAGCGGCCGCCCACCCCGGCGCAGGCG